CACTTTCACTAACACTATCAATGTCGATATGACTACTTCGACTAGTATACGACCGTCCATCCGTTGACCGTAAACAAACATCAGCAGGACGCGCTAAGCAGCTATTATCTTCCGCTTCAATATCATGATGCTCCATAGAACTAGATATAGTAGCCTGCAGACATCCTGATTGCTCAGCAACATGAAGTGCTGTGTCACTATATACACTTGTTGTCCTAGGATCAACTCTAGGTCCTGTTAAATAATTTACGTTACGTGAAAGGTTCCGAACATAAGCTTTATTCCATACAGTCAAACCTGTTTCGTCTTTGTTCTTATTCACTAACCTCTGTTTGCTCGAATCCAAATAACCGTTCCTTGATGTTCGAGCAGTTAAGAGGCTTTTACCATCACACACCTCGGATCCATCTTGATGACTACCCTTTTTGCCTTTTTCTTTCTTTTCCATCTTCAAAAAACCCATCTTATCTGCTACACAAACCGGCTTCTCACTAGGATACACATCAAGAGGTTTTACATCGTTACGGTCACATACTCGTCCTTCATCAGCGTATGCTTTCGTGATATAATTGACAACTCTCTTATCTTCTGAGCGTGCTTTAGGTAGAAACGAAAAATCCTCATGTCCCACACGCAGACCACTAGTAGCTTCCGTATTATGTTCTGTTTTAGCCCGATAAGCTGATCTTCCAAACCTACTACTAGCTATCTTAGCATGAGACATAATAAATTCCGTCAATTCGTTAAAATTGGGCTCTCTCTCCTCTTCGTCCCACTTGATTACTAGCTCTGCCCACTGGGCTTGCATTCGACGAGGTAAGAGCCTGACTATTCGTTCTAAAGTAACCATGGAATTAAGTTCCGTTGTGCAATTTAGCTGTTCTAAAGTTAAAGCAGCATTCTGCATTTTAATAGCCAAATTCGTCAATAATTCAGAATCATTAAAATCTACATTCCCAGTTCTAAATAAATCCTCTAAGGTTTCTCGGGCTATTACATGCGACTGTCCAAAGAGCTGTTTTAAAATGGCCTTAGCTCTCTTATATCCTGCTTGTGGATCCATAATAATACAGCCTTCAATCGCATTTTTTGCTTTTCCTTTACAATAGTATGACAAATATGACAACAACTGGCCCTTGTCAGACAGTTTACTCTCTACAATGCTTGTAAACTGACTAATAAAACGGTGGTACTGGCTAGGTTGTCCGTCAAAAAACATCATATCGATTTTAGGCAAAACTGTATTATTAACCGTAGCACGTAACGTGTCCTTTAATTCATCAATACAATCGCATTTTGAGGCGTTAATTACCTTATTACGCGCAATATCACAATCCAAATACCTTTCGACTTTAGAATTTATCTCAGCTTTGTCTACTGACAGTTGGTTATCGTTTTCTATGAGCTTACATTCTAATTCAGCCATATCAACTTCCTCTTGAAGCTCTAACATTTTAAGCTGCTTTTCTAACTCAAGTCTCTTTTCCAAATTCTTCTTCTTAATTAATGCCTTATCTAACTTAAATCTAGAAGTACTAAACTGAGATGAAGTCTTACTATTAACACTAATATCATCAAGTTTATCATCATTAACATCAGACATACCACAAACAGCTTTAGAAAATTTACCATCCATTTCGTCCTGCTCCTTCAGCCTTTTGCTTCTAGTTTCCATTGGATGATTTTGTTAGAAATCGATTACCAAGCAAATATGAAATTATTCCAAACGTATTCGCCAATAATAGCAAAATGTCCAAAAGTATCCAAAATATAACCAAAGAACCAAAATTGAATTGAAGAACCTCTGGAGCCAAAATGACCAAAAATCCAATATATGACGAATATAAATTAGAAGAAATTTTGGAGCCAAACGACCAAAAGAATCCAGTTTATGACAAATTTAAATTAGAAGAACTTTTGTTACGTCCAGTTTTTTGCTCGTTGATCTTACGAAGCACTGTTGTCGACTATTTGTAATTCACGGTCCCAAATTTTAAACCAAGAACGAAACTCCAAAGTAGATACCAAAGTTTATTCCAAATCACAAATTCGACCAAAATTCTTTATTACAAATAGACGACCAATGTCATTCTTCTAATTTATTAGCTCTTGGAGCAAAAAACTGCAAACGAACAACAAAGAGAAACGGGAGTCCAAAATGTCCGCAAATAATAATTCAAACAAGTTCACAAGTTAAGTAAAACAAATGTACCCAAAAACAGTGAAATTAATGATATTTATACATGAAGGTTTTGATCAGCAAAATGTCTTCGTTTCTCCCGTAACATGGCGTGCTCAAGGGTGTCAGATGCTTCAGAGAATTTTGGTAATGTTGCAGGATATACATGTGCAGTGGAACACTTCCACGAAGGAAACACAATAATTGAAAAGAAAACATTTATAGTTGTACTCGTGCTGTTTAACTGTACTAAAGACGCTTTTTTCGCAGTGCCGTCATCATTCTTAACTTGCTGCTCGTTAAATCGCCCATATTCTCCTTCAAATATATTCTTCACCCTGGATTTACTTCTGACGGGATAGTAATTAGTAATTAGTGGTGATCATAGTCAATCTCGACATAATCTTCACAATCTTGGCAGTTGCACATTTCGTTGACATTTCGACTCTCACTTAAAGAGTCACTATTTAATTTACTTAATTTTGTTTTCCTTACTTCTCAACCCAGTCTCTACGATTTTCACAAACCAACTTTGCATTACTCATCATTTAGATTGTGACTGCTCTTGTGTTGGATGGTACTCATTTTTAACTGGACTGCTTTTATTTACCAGCTTTTTGCCTTTATGGTTGTGAATTTAAACACACTAACTTAACTTGAATTGTGTATCGGCTGCTTAAAAAGTTAATTTTTGAGTAGACAGTACGTGATCCATCCCGATTGGTTTGAACAGTATGCCTGCTTGTTAGATGGAATTTAAGGAGCGATTTCCGACTGAATGACTGATGATTGTACTTGTTTAGAACCGTTCCTCATACAAGTATTTTGTGTTGATTTATGACTATGAGAGAACACGCATATCTAAAACAACCTCGACAGTTATTCTTCACACAAATCTACCTCCTTATATTTTGTTCTCCTCACACTACTGCACTACAAGTTATAAACTTATATTATCACTTTAGTTTATAACGCATTTGTCTTCTACTTGGCATGAGAATTTTTGACTAATTATATTCCACACTTCTAACAACAGACCTTTGACCTGCGACAAACGCATTTACTCAAGTTGCAGGATATACAAAACTGCAAATAACTACCAAATTAGCTCACTTGAGTAGCTAGACTACCACCAATTGGATATAATCAAATACCCAGAACCCTACTGAAAGAACAAGGAGTGAGCGCAAATACATCGTTAGCAGCGTTAGCTCTGCCATTATGTAAAGGGACTTACCGCCGGAGACGGAAATCAGTGAAGGTGAATTGTGACATTTTTAGCATCGACCTTTTCTAATCCGTTCCTTCCTTGTTAGAAGGCAGCATCGCTGTAGATGCTGGTTTACCGAAGGAAACATCTTATTGCTGTCACACCCCTCTACAGTCAGCAGTATGACTTCGGCCTCAGACCTTGCGTCTCTGTGCTAATGTGGTATGGCATCTTCAACTGATTTACGTACACACGAAGTTCTTCTTTGTAACTGACTGACTGTATTACAGAACATCAGCACACGTGTTTATTAGTTTAGGTTAAACTTTCATTATGAAAATGTTATTCACCGTATATTTATATATTTTTCAGCTGGACTACAAGTACTCAGTAATCATATTTACATTCACTCTTCGCATATATAACATGTCACTGTATGGTATGGAAGCGCATATTTGTGAGTCTGAGTATTATTATTACATTGGATAGGCTTTTAACTTCATCAGCTTTAAACAGTATTGATATTACGTTCACGAAGTAGATAACTAATTTTCTTCTTTATCGACAGCTTCTAGTGATATTTTTTTCTGGAACACTAACGATCGCCTGCTAAATGAAATGGATCTAGTGTTAAATTAGTCTTGAAAAATAAGTCCACATTTTTTATTAATTTTGGTCTGTAACCGTCTTTATAAAACGTCACTCTTTTACAATTTGCAATGGTCAAATAAAAACGTCTGATATTCCAAGTGTTTTTAAGTTGCGGTTCCCTAAGATTTGCTTACATCCCGAAAGAGCGCCTATGTAAACTGGTTTAGTTGTTGGTCATGTAAGTGCTAAAAAACTTTAACATTTGTACACAGTTTTCCTTCGTCCTTAACTCATTTATTGCATAGAAGCAGCCATAAAATCAACATGTGCTGGTAGCTTCATCTGTCGACTCACTCAAAAGAAAGTTTGACTAACTGAACGGCAATCATGGAAAACTATGTGGTGGAAGTATAGGTAAGGCCTCCGAATATACTGTACCGAAAATATGGTACCACTTGATAGGATGTGCAGCCATATTCAAGTAACTTACATGTATGGTACGCTACTTAGGTGGAACGTCTAATACTAAAGGATTAGATACATCGAGCTATTGTGATCTACAGTTTTAGTGAGCTATGAAGCACTTCTTAAATTGCAGCCTCGCTTTTCTCATTTGGATGACATTATTAATAGGTATATATTCGGTTATGTAGGTTATTCAGGTCAAGGCAAAGCCTGAAAAGGTGTCTAGCAGAAACAATGTCCTGCGTAAACAAACATCAAAGAGCACAACGTTTGTAAGTACTAGCAGTTGAAACGTCATTTCCAGAATACAAACAGACTGATCGCCCACACTACTAAAGTAGTGAGTAGACCTATGGAGAAATTTCTTACAGACAGTAATGTATTTATACGCGTTGATTATTAAATGAGAACTGAAACCCCCATTACTACCCTAAGTTAAAACTTCTACCTATTTTCGAAATAGAATTGCCACCTCTGCAACCGCCTCGTATTCAATTTAGAATCTTTGAATACTGCACTGAATTGAGATATAATGGAGAGAACGCTGTGAAGAATAAACGTTTAAGGTCGCAGAACTAAAAGGAGGCTAATATGAACCTGATCAAACTTTCCATCCATCCCATCTCAAGGTCACGCGACTTTGTGTCACTGATTAGTTAGTCCAGTTGGTAAGTTGCTATTACCATTCATCAATCTTTATTTATTGTATGTTTATGCTTCCTTGTTTTCAAGGCTTTTTATACATAAACTTTTTTGCTTGACCTCAATGCTATTTGATACTAACTGACTTTAATTAGAATGAGTCACACTGGACAAACCGCAGCCTAGGACTTCAGATGCCATAGTTGCTACCCCTCACTATAATCACGTGAAAGTTTCCTGAGAGGTGACAGTTTAGGCCTATTCATTCTATGTAGAAACCGAGAACTTTATCAATGCTAATGTTTGATCGTAATTTGTACTTTTTGTTGTTTAACTGTCCGTACGCGTCAAAGCCCTAAATGTCCATTCAAATAAATAAATAAATTCGGACGAAAGTTTATGGGTTCATTTTGTCAGTTTCTTTACAGTGATGTGTTCCGGGTTTATTAGTGTAAATAACACCTTGTCTTAGTGAATAGGAGAACCGCAAACCGAAGGGTGTTAAGTTAGCTGTCTGAGGAGTCCTTCAAGCCACCGTCCTGCAAACTACAGCTGCTCAGCATAACAGTGCGAGCCACGTATGTGTTGCATCTACCCTTGATTAGATGCTGAAACTTCCGACACATTATTCCACTGCTTAGGTTCACCTCGGATATTTCTTGATTGCAGTTGAATCCTTTGTTGATACGGGTTGTAGAAGTGGGTTGGAATGTTTGAAAACACTAATGTATATGGGCTAGTATACTGTCCAGATTCGCAGATCGAAGAGGTTAATACTGAAAGCCAGTTTATGACTACCGTAGTATGCTAGCTTGACAGGACTGACGTTTGACTGTTCCTCACGACTCCTTGGTTATCCTCCTAGAGGTAGTGTGACAAAGTGACCTGAAATGTTGTCAAATATGGTTCAGAATAAAACTCATTGACAACCCTGCTGTAGTTTTTGTTTACTTTCTTCGTAGAAGCAAGGTAAATTTCGCTAACCGAGGTCCCTAGTTTTTTCATTATTCCGCGTCCTCATCCACTTTTACACGTCCATCACTTTTGTATTATGCCCATCATCTATTATTTAACAATCCTCAGCTCTGGTATTGCATGTGCCACTAACCTGATGGGCGTCAGATTTATTTGGTCTGTTGTTAGCAGCCGCTGTATGATCCGTTCATACTTCATGAAGTCACCCTTTGCATTTGTTATATTGTAAACCACAGGTGACAACAAATCGGCAGCCAGGTAGCTCACGGATATTTGTAATGAGCCAATAGTTGCGTATAAAATTATCAACCTGGAAAGTGGTAAGGATATAAACCAGTGGTAAAAAAATAGTAGATAAAATGTGGTCAGTTATACCTAACAAAATTTTAGTCTTATAATGTAATACCATGGACATCAAATAGTGAATTCTACTTAAAGGAGCTCATGAGGGGTTCTCGGAACAAACAGTCATTTAATAATATCTGTACAAACATTGGTACGAAAGGGCACCTGAATTTATATTTGCACCATACATTAAATGTTTTGTTTGGAATACTGCTCAAGTGCCCAAACCGAATCCGTTTGTTTTTCTCATAGCGGCGCTCCCCCAACCTTTGGCCTAGGTAATAATTTTTTAAATAGAACTGAAAGTTTTGCAGTACTTTGTTCTACATCTTGCGATAATCACACTTGAAGAAATACTGACGAATTTTCAGTAACGTGTTGAGTAATAATAAATTGATTCTAGTTACTGCGTTTTGTTAGTTTCTGTAGCTTATGTGTATATGAGTGTAATTCCTTTTTTTCCTAATTTGTTTATAGACTGTTTAATGTCGCACAAACGTCCTGAGCATTCACTTCCTCCCGAACTGGTAAATTATCGTAGTTCTATCACTTATTTTTAGTATTATAATAGTGATGAGGCCAAGAAATACAGTTCAAAGTAAGTTTCATGTTTCTTAATTTTCTCGTAGTTCCCATATTATTGATATTCAGACGCGTATCACAGAACGGGCTTTAGAATTACTTGCGTTGCCTGAAGATGAATCCTGCATGATTCTAGATATCGGGTAGAAAGCATCATGTTTTTTTTGATTTAATAATTCAGATGCGGCTCCGGTCTAAGCGGTGAAGTTATTACTGACAATGGTCATCACTGGGTCGGTATTGACATAAGTAAAGATATGCTGGAGGTCGCGTTAGACAGAGAAGTAGAAGGTAGTTTGATACTTAGTGACCTTGGTTGTGGATTACCGTTTCGCGGTGGATCATTTGATGGAGCTGTCAGCATTTCAGCAATACAGTGGTTATGCAATGCAGATAAATCTTCTCAAAATCCTGTTGCGCGTCTTAGGAGATTCTTCGTCTCGTTATACAGCAGTCTTACTCGTGGTGCACGAGCAGTGTTACAGTTCTATCCAGAATCCGTTGTTCAGGCAGATCTATTGCAGAATGAAGCAACGAGAGCTGGATTCACAGGTGGTCTTATAATTGATCACCCAAACAGTACACGAGCAAAAAAGTAGGTTTAATCAATCCCTATTATGTTAAAATGTTAATTCATTGCCAAAGTTTGTATTTAACCTGAAAGCTTTTGAGTTAAGCATTAAATTCCGGGACATTTTTTTTGTATATTTGACTAAGTTGAGGGATAAAATACCGTTTTGAACCCAGTAACCTTTTGTAGCATCATAAAACTACATCAAAAAATGGGGCCGTACTGTTTTTAGATAATGTGGTGGTCATTCTCTACATTTCTGGTATATCATGTATATACTTAATTATGTTCTAGCGTTTAGTCGTAAAATTCTGATACACCGACTTTTGCTCATTTGTAATTTCCGTACTAAGTATTTTTTAATTACTGCTATCAGTCAGCCAGTCACAACGTAGAACTTCGTACGTACGTAAGTAAGTTCAAGTTGCCAGAGACGCAACTGTCAGTTCAAATCCCATTGTGGGAAAGAGAGTAGAAATATTAGCAGTAATGGAGAAGATTAGGGTTCGAAAATATTATTCAAGAAGTATAATTCAGTGAGATAAATTTCGAAAGGGAAAAATAGAGGTTATGAGGGATACAGAAGATTAGAATTTCAGAGAATACAAAGAGTGGATGCACCTGCATCATTGCAAACGATTTTAAGCCATGTCATTCATGTTCACTAACCTTAGATTACTATCATCTCGCGGGCTTCAACCAGGTAGTCGACACCTACCAACATAACTCAGTCCACTTGTCTGTGACTTTATGGATTTGTGCCATGTTTTGGTTTGGCCGCCCTTAGCTTTCTTTCAACCTACTTCTACACCACAAAACAGTGCTCGTCGAGGCAGTCGGTCGTTAGGCCTACGTAACACACCTCAACCGATGAATTTTCACTACTTTATCTGTTGATCTGCCATCCTTACCTAGGACCCGTATCCTAACAACAGCATCGCTTATTCGATTGTCCCACGATACACGAGTAATGCTTCTAAGACATCCATGATCGAATACTAGTGACCTACGAATATCCTCAACTCTTACCGGCCACGTTTCGCATCCATGTAGTGGGACGGAGCAAACTGTTGTGCAGTACACTCGTCCTTTGGTTAGCAAACGGATATCTCACCTGCGCCATAAGTGACGCAGGTTGGTAAAAGCAACTCGAGCTTTCTGTATCCGTGCTGAGATTTTGTCAGTCTACATGCCATCAGCAATGATGGGGCTCCCAAGATAAGTGAAGCGGTTGACACGCTCAACCACTTCACTCCTTATCACTAGTTCAGGTGCCGACGCAAACCAATCTTAAAGCGACGTTTTGCATTTCGAGGGGGAAAACTGCATCCAAAACATGCTCCTATTATTGGTTAGAGTGGTCAGGAGACAGCATTTTGTCAGCGTCTTCACCAAGTAAGACTATGTCACCGGCAGATCCTGAGTCAGCAGGCGAATCTCCTGGTAGAAGGTGCACTCCTGAAAATTCAGACGGAGATAATCTTAACTCTAAAAGCATATCTACGACAAAGCTAAACAAGAATCAGGAGAGTGGACATCCACGACGGACACCACTTGAAGTGAAGAATTCCGGTGGCAGTTCGCCATAAGCTCTCACCCGCCCTGTAGTGTTCGAGTAGAGAGCTTGTTTAAGGTTAATGTACTTCTCTGGTACACCCTTCAGTGACAGACTGCCACAGAACCTCACGATCTACAGGGTCAAATGCCGCCTTTAGGTCCATGAAGACAACTATTGTCGTCTATGTTCTAGGACCTGACAGCGTGAATATCTGGTCTATACATCTGCGTCCAGGTCGAGAACGAGCCTGATTTTCTCTAGTCTGCTCTTTATGAGCTCTAGTTAGGCATTGGAATATTATCTATGCCAATATTTTAGATACTATATTAGTTGAACTGGTTCCTCTGTGATTTTCACAAGAGGACTTATGTCCTTTTTTGTAAACTGGTGATTGATGTGTTTCCGAGCATCTATCAGTTCGGTAGATGCTACTGAAATCCACCGTTTCTCCCTAACCTTCTGATTTACCTTACTACCGAATATCATTGCTGTTTCCGCAGCTTTTTAACATCGTTCCAAGCTGCCTCAGGTTGGGAATCACTTACATGACCGCCTAACTGTTTTTCTACTTGTTCCTGAAATATATTCTTAGGTAGGAGCCTAAGAGGTTTCCTTGCGGTGTCTTTCCTACGTCCAGTAAGTTGCAATCAAATACGCACTTGCAATAGAACATAATCTGAATCTAAACATGTGCCGCAGAACGAGCGACAGTCCTCTGTTGTACTCCTTCATCGGTGTTTGATAGCGATGTGATCTAGTTGGGTCCAGCGTTGGGACGACTTTGGGGGTCACTACATCAAGAGATGTTTTTCCTTACGCTTAAAGTTAGTGTTTACTAGGAACAGGCGGTTATCTGAGTATAGTTGCAGCAGACGCTCACTATTATCAGTTCTTCGAGCCGCAACACCATAAGATCCACCCAGGTGTCTTTCCTTTTCACTTAGTCTACCTACTTGAGCATTGAAGTCACCAGCCATTATTACTATATCAGAGCGTCTAGCTTTTTGGAGCATGTCCGAATGCATTCTGTAAAACTCATTCTTTATGTCGTCTAGACTGCACTCAGTGGGAGCGAAGGCAGATACAACGAAGAGGCAACGGCGAGTGTCCCTATCTTTCCGAGTCCTTACTGTCCCATTTAGTTGGACAGCGCACAAGCGACTATTTAATAGGGTCCAGTCTAAGAGAGCTAGTTCTGCCGTTGGACTTAATGCTATACCTACACCAGCGAGGCCACGGAAAGCCGCAGCAAGGCTTCCAGATACACGAGGCGTAAATCGAGTTGATTCTTTATCTGGACAAGTTGAGATCAAATTAATGATTTTTTTTCGGGTTCTGTATGCGCGTTCCGGAGACGCGGCAAACATGGATGGCACGGGATTCCAGAGTCCTAGCTAATGAAGCCTGTTGCCCTATTTGACACAATGTCCGTACATTGAAAGCTCCAACATGTAGAACGGGGTTTCAGGAGACCAGAAATAATTTTTTGAACTCAAATCGTTTGCATTAGCAGTGCGGGGTGATAAAAAGTGTAATACGGGTTAGTCGTGGAGATAAGAAAGATGTTGGGGGGCGTAGGAAGGAATTAATTTTTGCCGATTTGGTCTCGTATGCTGTTACGGGTATGAGGGAGGTTGTCACTTCCCGGCTGCCCACACCATAGAAGGGTGTTTCTTGAGGAACCTGAAAAGGAAGGTGGATTAGTGAGAGACCTGGATGCGTGATTGCAGAGCCCAACGGACAACTGCTTGAGGCCGGGCACGCACGGCCTTTTAATGAGAAGTTTTTTGAGTACTAGCTCCTCTCTTTTTGAAGCCCTTATTGGGCAGCCCTTACCGATGGAGACGGAAATCTGTGGGGTAAGGTGAGGTGTGACATTTTAGGGTCGACCTTTTCTAACCCTTCCTTCCTTATAAGAAGGCAGCATCGCTGTAGATGCTGGTTGTCCGAAGGAAACACCTTACTGTTGTCACACCCCTCTACAGTCAGCAGTACGACTTCTCCCTCAGACCTTGAGTTGGTGGTTTTAGTCTCATCGTTCTTCAGTCGACATTTCTGGCCTGGAAGAACTTACAGGATCATATGTTCCGACCAATATAGCTCGGTTGGGTCATCATGATAGGCAAGCCTGACCACCACGTCAAGGTAGCAGTTACGGTCAGGAATTACTGCTGTGGGATTCTTCTAAAATTTTGTATATTAGCAGGGAGCTTCTGGGTCACATTTTTTGAATAACAGGTTGAAGGTTCAGACATTAATTACTTTGATTTTGATAGTGAAGAACTCATTATCAATTGCATAAACTTTGTGACTAAAAATTAAGTAGATGAGCCAGTACTTTGTTACTGAGTCTCATTACGAATAAAATTTTGATTTCTTATCCATACATGACTCTTTAAACTACACTCTTTAAAGTGGTAGTTACTTAGTAGCATCACTCTAAGAAAACTTGCTTACCATGCAGTCTCATGTACCTGTGCCCTTGGTACACTTTCGTATCAAGGGTATTGGTAATATTTAGTTGTTCAAACTGGGGTAAGCTACTGGTTGCAACAGAAGTCCTTTAGCCACAATCTCACCTCTCATTTGTCTAACAATATCTGTCCCTTGGACAGAAATTGTGGATATGGACTGAAAAACACATGTTTAGATAGATGTAAAAATCTATCTAGACGATAAAAGGTAATAATAAACATATTTCTATTACAGATTCCTATGGTATTTCATTTTCTATTTTGTTGTATTGTATGTGAAACTAGTTACACGCATTTAAAACCTGTGTTTAGTTATATGATAAACTATCACGTTTTATTTTGGTACCAGGGTATGATGGCAACCTTTACACAAGCTACACAATAATAGGGATTTTAAAGTTCTTAAGTGTAGGTGCCTATTGATTAGTTTACAGGACCGAACTCTGTTCTAATTCCTTTTTCCTATCGTAAACCCTCTCACTTAGATTGTGGCTGAATACTTAGTTTGGTAAGTAAAAACACTATATTTAATTAGGCTCTTAATACTTCGTGATTACAGAGTAGTAGTTGACTTCTATGGTCTGATGTTTTTCGCGACATTTTCTTTTATAGTGTTTTCTGTTTATATCTTACTTTTTTATTTTACTCTGCAACTAAATTACTGCTTTTTCAACCAACCTATATGTTCAACACAATATCGTACAACCATGTGGGTTAAGCTTACCATAAGTTTATCTGAAACTGTGACTTTTCGCTATTGATATGCTTGATCTCATAAGTGTGTATGTATTTTAATTAACCGATTATTCATTTATAGATACTTCTTAGTATTGGATGTATGCAGCACTCGTCGTATTCCACAACCACTAACAGAAAATAATGACATGTCAAACTATAATCGTGATAAACTTGAAAAGTTAAGAGAATGTAGACAATTAAAGAGGTTACCAAAGCATAGTGTAGCTTGGATAAAACAGAAAAAACAACGTGCCAGGGATCAAATGAAAGAAGTCGCTCATGACTCCAAATATACGGGACGCAAGCGTCGTGCCAAGTTTTGATACCAATGTCTTATTTATTCATTTCTGTAAATTCATAACTACTGTATGTATATAGGCTACCTCGATTATATAATCACTGTAAAATCTGACTTTTAAATGTGATAGATATCTAAAGCCTAGCAGTGTATCATAACCGGAATGTTTAATTGATTTTCCAGTTAATCTTTCACAATCCCACCACACATTTGTGAAAATTTTGTAAAAATATAATTACCTGAATTTTTCCTTCATTTTTAATGAGTTTCTTCCATGGTTTAATATTTTCCTAATGATAAATTTCATACTTCAGAAATATCTGGTAGTTTTCTAATTAAAATTAGATTTCGCATATTACCAAGTGACTTTTTGTTCTAGGTTTGTTTCTCGCCTGTAATTGAGATCATTACTAACAACTGGTCGATCATTGGCATTCTTATTGAATGATATATAATTCTGACTGAATTTTGTTTATCTTTCTTATTATTTGTAATATTCAGTGACCGAAAATCAGTCCACATTTTGAATGGTATTTTTGAAAATTTTTATTATTTGATGTACTGTTCTCACTGTTAATTTAATAAAGCAATGTGGAATAGTTTGTATTTCATAAGCAATTTGAAGCTGTATTCTCATGTAGTGTTGGTTAGTAAACTAGTGAATTCATCAGGGGAATATTTTGGAAACATAAATGTTCGTCATAGTTTCTTCAATGCTCTTTATTAAGGTTCACATTCATATTCTGTTAGAATTAACTTATAAAAAATATCCTAGTTTGGTGAGGTAAAAAAATGAGGATATTGACATTAACTGATGAAACAAAAAGACGTTGGTTTAAAGCAAAAGAAACAATGAAAATCATAGTAAGGTTTTTATTAGTAGTCGCTCAGTTACATGTAACATGGAGCCTAGCGTGTATGTGCACCAGTCCTAGCTGTCATACCATATCAGCATAGCGAAATAATATTATCAAGACAAATACCAGAGTATTAGAAGTAGTAAAGTTAAGAAGTCAATGAACCGATATCGTATTTTGGTTTGACTCTACGAAGCTCTTCTAAAATCCTCTTAAATCGATTATCGAGGTAGGCAATGGTCGAGGATACGTAGTAAGTATCCTAACCACTTCGGTTCACAATCTGATCAATTCCATACGGCGCTTAACACATTATGAAGTGAAGCCATCATTATTGTTATTCCTACTTAGTACCGCGCAACTAACTTCAATTCCGCTCATTCGTTTATTCCAGCATGTCCGCTTCAAAGGCATCTAATACCAGTAATCTACAGCTTCTTGGGTCTCCCAGCTATTTAAGATTATAGTCATAGTCATCACTATTGAAAAATTAGTGTGCTAACAACAAATTAGTTTAGTTATAGTAGTGATATAGTTTATTTATCCTTTAAACTTGTAGGAACACTGGAATGCACTATATGGATGAATTGATTAACTAAAGCGCCTAACATCAAATTGATGGTAATTGCTGATTAACAAGTTGACGACACATACTACAATGCAACTGTGAGCCAGGTTTTCGGTATAGATGTTTCCACTTCCTAAAGAAATACGCAGGAGTTTCTAGGAATATAAGATCCTTGCGTTTCAACGGAAGTAGTAATGATCACTTTTCTTTTGATACCTTAGATAAGATTTATACAGCAAGTAGGTTGTGTCGCTAAGTACAATCTATTGAATTTATTTCGAATTAGTTACAATTCAGATCTAAACTAAGGTTACCAATGTACAAACAAATAACTTACTCTAGTTAGACTATCATTTATAGAAAAAAAACACCAGTCTCATCACAATAAAAAGCACTAAGAGAGAAATACTTAAGTAAGTAGCTTTGACTAAGCGTATTTTTATAGGGGTAATTAACAACTGGAAATGTTGCATTAGTGACTATTTTGAACTTTAGGTTTCTTGTCTCGTTCCGATCAAATCGCAAGTCTTCTATTAGTACTCAATCCAACCTAGCATGATCTTATCGAAACTAAAAAATGTTTTATATATTACAGTTTGTAGGGAAATGCGTTGGCATTTTTATTGATTTTTAGCACCGAGAGCAGTGCTTTCATTTATCTTTCAGAAAAAATTGACCGCAGGTGCTCTTCTTTGTTGAAGACGAGCTAATACAGACAGAAAAGATTAAGCTCATGTTACAAGTTAGTTTAGACTAATCCAACTGACACGTCTATGAGATTATACTTGGTATAAGACCTGGTAGTGGCACAACCTATTCATGTTATCGGAGCTACACGAACGGAGCAACATCACTAATGTACTAAACTGCAGTTCATGATTTGACGTTAGATACATGACAGCTTCAACAATGTACGTCACAGAAGTTTACCATTCGGCCCTCCAAAGGTATACGGTTGCTCTGTATATCAAGTCTAGCTAAGTTACAAACCCTAATTTCTATTCCCTGCAATCATAACTTTAATAAATATAAGCATACAGAAATCATCCTACTGTTGAGAGAAGCTAGTGAATAGAAACGTTCCCCACTTCGTACGAACGAGTGGGGAGAGTTACTCCTTACTTCCGAAATGCCAGTCAAGTCCCTCCTCGCGGCTGTTGTTTGAGAAGACAGAAAGCTGACGTCCGACAGAGGCTTAACTGGATAGGCAGAATCGAAGGACCCACCAAGGCACTGGTATTCATGGACTCCAGGATCCAAAGTGCAAGAACCTAACATTGGGCACAGACTAGCATACGAACGTGTAGTGTTACTTCTCCATACTGCCACGTAGTTTTTGCTTCTTGACTGAACGCCCGGGAGATCCGTCTACTCTGGTTTGAACACCAGTGTAATCTCCCAGCCCACTCACAAACTCTAATTTGTTTGGCGTATAATTATTGCGTGCCCCTTTGTTCAATAGTTGTATTTGAAGTATATAATGTCCCCTGACATTTATAAGGTACGCAGAATGAAGGAAATCAGTCATGTCTTAACGTCCCTAATGTTCACTACTGATTCATATTTGACAAGTCTAAAAAAGTAATACATTCGATGTTCAGGTAAAAATATTACCCATTCGCAATTGTAAAAAGTAAATAGCAGACATAGGTTGATAAAAGTGTGTATTATAAGATTGTACATTAAAATCGAAGACAGTTAAGGATAAATATACACTTATTCCAATGAGATTTCAAAGCACTTCTATAGTAGATTAAAAATAAATAATCCGGGAAGTAAATGGAACAGGAAACAGTTAGACATTCAAGTGACATCACTGAATTTAGGATTATATGAGGTTTTTCTCAACAGCACTACGCTGAATTTGCCTCCCCATCACTATCGAATTTGAGATCTGCCAGCGTTTCCATTAGATATGAGCGAAGTTGAGGTAAGGAAGCTACACGTCCATAAAAATCGTCCACACGATACTTGTTAAATATCGCCTACGAATGTCATAAATTAGCGAATAGAAAACATACCCTATACTTTGAAGGAGAATTTTGACGATAAGCAGCGCGAGCGAGAATTTGTAGATAATCACGGATATCACTCAATCTGTAACCACTAAGATATGAGAGTTTATCACACCAAGCTTTTTCAAGCTCTGAAGTGCCTAGACACAGTGCTCGAGACAAGCATAACGCAGTCACAGAGCGGAGATTCCCCGGTAAGTGTGCAAGATCATACTCTTGTATCGTTAGTTCTAAGAAATATTTAGCTAGGTTGTGCATAGTTCTATCAGCCTGGAAAGAAAGGTAAAGTAAAGGAAGCTTACATCCAGAGCCTTTGACAAACGACGGAGAAATACCAACGGGGTTGGGATTGACAAATAGAAATCAATAGATTGCAATATTATTTGTTCGGTATTTCTAATGTCGCTTTTAGAATAAGTGTTGTTTGTTATTGATGAGAAGTCGCTTATGTCGGGTGGATACATTTCTTCGAATTTTGCCAGCAATAAATAAGGATGCCACGCCTATAAGCTGGAAGCCATCTTTTGTCAAGCTTTTAGAATTTTTCTATACGAATGCAATAATAAGTACACAACATACCAGTAGATAACGGTCCAAGATAGCAACACATAAATAGAGGGTCTCAGGTTGCAATTTATAACTGTAGTGTACTTGAACAAGCCAGTTAACTAAGATATATCTCATCCGTGGAGTGATTTCACAGTTTAAGTCCATGTAATCAGCTTTCAACGGTTGTATTAACAATTCTCTATCTTGGAGATAATTGAATATTCTTTCTGTATAGGGATAAACTGTAGCAGCATCCTCGTAGTCATTTCGGTCAACGTCCAAATATTCCTCTGCTATCTCAGAGGCTAAACTTTCTAAGCGAATGAGTTTCCGACTGGCTTGAAATTCTTTCAGCTGATCTGTTGGTTTTTGAGTTGTGACATCAGGAGTTGGACTGTCGATACTCATTTCGAGTACTTCTTTCTCTAAAGTGGAATGGTAACCTAACTTTTAGCCTCACTTTGTTCCAAACATTGCTCATTCTTTAAGGGTTTTTGCTTCCCTACATCTTTTGGCAGAATATTTGCAGTCTTATTCTTAATATCGCATAGTGCTGCGCGTGACCTCGTTGACACACCTACGGTTTTGGCTTTCAGAACAGCATTATCTTTAACACCAACTGCAGCATTTTTCATTAGCCTGAAATTTTACTTAGAGAAAATTGCTTTCTTACATAAACTCCGAACCTGCTGCGAGTCAACATAATAAGGATATTTAAATGCAGCTGATCGGTCGAAAGGCGTACCGC